CGATTGAGAGTGTTCATCCAGCCGTTAAAGAACCAAAAGAAGCACTAATAGGCTGGCTAATATTTCATTTACTTTATCAAGAAAGAGCATTTTATTTGACACTAGAGAGTCATTCGTATTCTACTACCTTAACTGAACCCTTCATCACCATAGGACTTGCAATGGAATTATGTCGCCGGTATACGAAATTGCCTCTCTTGTATCCAGACACTAAGCAACTAACTATTAGTAGCGCCCTTTGGCTATTACGCTTCATCAGATATTAAAATTATTGTTTTTCACTTCTGAGTCACTGTCCTGCTTTTTGCCATCGAATTCATCAATTATTAAATATTTTCAAAAAAGTAGTGTTGATCGTCATCTTTCTCTTGCCTTTCATTAACGAAATGTTTTGCCGGCTTTACTAGGGATCCTGTCCTAAATTAATGAAATCCGAGAGGCCAGTAAACCGTGCAATGGCTGAACATCGTTCCCAGTTTAACCACAGAAATATGAATAAACTGACCAATGAATTTATCATCTGCTAATGAACGAGTGCGTAAATCTTTACATGTGGAGGATGATTTGAAACCGCTGAAGCAAGTAACAAAGTGGCATTAAAAGTCTTTACGAAGTGATCCTCACTCACAGATCTTCCGAAATGTATAAGATGGAAATCACTGTGTGTTCGCAACAATACAAGCAACGATAACTAAACCAAAGCGAGTCGTGCATACAGAAACAGACTCTGAACCACGTTTTACTTGTGACGGAAAACTGTTAAAGGTGCAACTTAATCAAAACAGAACTAATTTTTCTTTTTGATGGAGAAACATCCGAAACATTTTCACGAATGAGGGACGAAGGCGTTGTGGCGGAAGCAGACACTTAAAGTTGTGTCTCAGCTATCGGTACCGCACTGACACTGGTATTGCAGCCGCAGTGTATTCTTAAAGTTTGTCAGGACTTGAAAGTCGATTGTTTTTGACTTGTAATCAAAGCAATCATGTTTTTGGTAATGATCAAAGTGAGTCGTAAAGTGCAAAACAATAAAGTCAAACCTGTATTAAACAAGCGTGAGCTGATCAAAAGATTTGCAGCGTCACTCAATCGCGACGTAAACCGGATTCCCTCTATCAAAACCAAGAAAAGGTTACCGACAGCTTGTCTTCTGCGAAAGTTCTTGATGTGCAACGCCGAGATTTTTTTAAAACCACTATCTGATGAAGTTACTCAATAACTCGAAGGAACGCAATCGATTAACTTTAATGAGCGTGCACGGAATTTGGAGCCCTGCTTCATTATCAAATAATTATGCAAATGTCAAGCCACGATCGGGTTTGCGTGGCGCGTAATACACGCGTAATCTTCCTTCTTCTCTCATTCGCGTCACTTCTCACACGTGAGTGCTATCCAAATCACTCCTTTTTACAAGTCCTTTAATCCTGTCTTCATTTGTGGGCCATAAGACACCAACATGATCTTTTCAATTAGCCCTGTTTGAACAGCATGTTGCCTCTCTTTTCTTCGCGGGAAAAAACACGAAAAAAATCCGCTAAATAACGCCACAGGGACTAAGTATGAGCAAGAGATCATAACCTGTCTATGTTTATGGTCTCGGGAAAATTTTCGCCAATATAACGTACGCATTTGTTGCCTCTGTTGATGAAACAATCATCTTCGGGGGAAAGGGACTTTCTTTCTGAGCCCCGGAACCCAGTTTCAGCATAATTGTCACAAGACGGAAAAAGCCTACACAGTGAAAAAAAGGACTAATCTGCAAAATTCTAAAGAAAGGTAACCTTCAGGAGCGTGGCAACTGGCGGAGTGTTACCTTGCTGCCACTGGCCAGCAAAGTGCTCAGCAGGATCCTTATCAGTAGGATACAGACAGGAGTGGATTCTTCACTCAGGAAAGAACAAGCTGGCTTCAGGACCAGCAGTGGAACTGTCAACCAGATATTCATCCTCAGGATTATTCTGGAACAGGTCAACGAATAGAATGCTACTCTGTACATCCACTTTGTCGTCTTCGAAAAGGCCTTTGACTCCATACACCATGACAGCCTTTAGATCATCATGCGTCAGTATGGAGGCCCACAGAAACTTATCCGGATGGTCAAAACCCTTTCTGAGGACTGCCAGTGCTCTGTCATTGATGAAACTGAAACAACAGACTGGTTCCCAGTAATGGCCGGAGTGAAGCAGGGCTGCTGCATTTCAGGATTCCTATTCCTGCTAGTGATTGACTGGGTCATGCGTAAAAACCGTAGAGGGCGAGAGAACCGGGATCTGATGGAACTTTACGACCGTGTTGCAGGACCTGGACTTCGCGGAGGACCTCGCCCTCCTATCCTCAGGAATAAACCACCTTCAGAGCAAACAACAAAACTTGAAGACAATGCAGCCAAAGTTGGACTGAAGCCGAACGCCAAGAACTGTAAAGCCATGAAAGCCAACAACAAGAATGATGATAAGCTGAAGGTTAGAGGAAGTGAAGTAGAGGAGGTGGAGACCCTCACATATCTGGGTGCAAATAGGACAAAGGACGGTGGAGGCACAGCTGATGTCAAGAAGAGAGTAGCCTTGGCCAGCTCACAGATGAAGCGGCTATCAAACATCTGGTAATCCAGCGACATAAGCAGAAAGACCAAAGCTTCCCTTTTCAAGAGCCTTGTCTTGTCCGTCCTACTCTACGGATACGAGACTTGGAAAATGACTAAAGGAGAGGAAGAGAAGCTTGACACCGTCCAGACCAAGTGTCTAAGGAGGATTTTCAAAATCCGATGGCAACATGTCTCCAATAAGACAGTTCTCAAGATGGTAGAAGCAGGAAAGATTAGCGAGGTGAGGAGACGAGGATGGAACTGGATTGGGCTCATAATGAGGAAGGAGAGGAACGACGACTGTGCTGTGGCCCTTGGTTGGACACCAGAGAGAAGAAGGAAAAGAGGCCGACCGAAAACAACATGGCGGCGAATGGTAGAAAAGGAGAGAAACGGCGCAGGCTGGAAAACATGGAGTGCTGTACGCCATGCAGCTGCAGACCGAACACAGTGCAGGAAATACGTCCAAGCCTCATGTGCCTCCTGGCACAGAGAAATTTAAGGTTATGGACACGAAGTCGAGGTCCATTAAAACATAAAAAAGAACGAGGTTAATATCCAGCCATCTTCACCGAACAAGCTTGGCCATTATGGATTGATTATGTAGCGAAAACAATTCGCTTTAAAAAGAATCAAGAAAGATTTGCTTATTTCGATTGCTGAGAGGGAGGGCTTACTGTCTTTGTAGCAAAATACACCTACCAGGGTCGTTTATGTTTTCATTGTTTTGAATATATTCTTCCGCTTTTTGCGAGTTCATCGTCGACATCGTCCAAAAATTACGAACTTAAGAAGTTTGTTCCAAGCACTTTTTCTCATGTGTGGGAAAAAAAGTTGGAAATTTCGGGATTGACATAACAGGACCGTTCAGATTTTATTCCAATGATCAGTTTTGTCCTCAGAAACTTGTGATTTACGATTTCCTTTTGCAAATCGAGCAACAAAAGTGCGAGAAATATTCCTCTAGCGAATTCCTTTTCAGAAATCAAACAAAATTTTTTAACACAAATATATTTGACTATAAATTTTATTGTCCTTCATAAGGAGCTTTCTTCTTATTCATTAACAGTCAGAGACACATATCAATTCGTCCCTTATTTTTCTTTAGATTTCTGTAGCTCAGCAATTTCTGCTGCTCGTTTTGTTGTCGAATCCACGGCATCAATGAAGCAGCTTCTAAATGCGGCTCTTTCCAAAGTCTGAATTCCAGCAATCGTCGTACCACCCGGAGAACAAACTTCGTCTTTTAACTAAAAAGTATTTGAAACAAAATTGTTTTGTGAGAGGCGTCCCGGAGAACATGCACTTATAAGTTTACAAGCCCAAAGGCATTACAGCGTTTAAAACAAATCTCAAGCTTTGTGTTCATTATCATTTTCATTTATTGATGTTTTGTTGTTTCAATTTCAAAAGTTCAATGAAATCTGATCTTGAATCTCAACACAGCAAAATAATACACCTTTTCGGGAGAAGTAACTACTGGGGAGTGAAAAATGAGCACTTGGTTTGCAACTCCTCTAATCATCATATAAAGTGATGTAACAAACCAAAAAAAAAACAACACAAAACAACACAAGAACAGATTAATTTCTGCATACCTTTTGCATTCAAAAGCCTAGTCAGAAGATCTTAGTTCTACAGCCAAATCATCCACTACTTCCCTGACAATTTTGATGTATAACCAAGTTCTCAAGAAATCTAGAAGCCAGCTTAACTGGTATTTTTATTAATGCTTTTGATAAAATTCAGTCTTTTGGTCAACCCTTAAGGACCACCCTTATTCACCTTAAGATGGTTGACTGTATACTGGATAACATCTTTTAAGGCATTTCTACATCTGATGTCTTTAAGGTCAATCAAATGGACAAATAAAATTTGGTCAATACCCCAACATGTTGACCTCAAGCTGTGTCAATAACACACATGTACCATGGTATACCTGAGCCGGATGCTTTCCTGTTTCCTGCACCAGCCGTGCTGCTCCTAGAACTGTCTGACTGGCCAGATCCATTGACAAAGCTCTTGGTAAACCCACCCTCACACCACCATCACTCATTGCCTCAATGGCAAGGAAGAAAAAAGCCAGGGCACTACCACCAACTGCAGTAATTGCATTCATCTGAGATTCTTTCACCTCCACACACATACCTATAGTAACAAAGATCCCTAAGTTAGTAGTAATGGTGGACTGGTGTTACTAAAACTGTGCATAGTTTCTGAATGCTTAGATCAATTCTGGGAGGTCCCCTACAAAGGAGGAGCATTCTCATCTTAAAGTCTTGAATTTGCTTCATTCTACAGAAATGGGAAAGGCTCTCTTGCACCTCTAGCCACAATCCTAATGAAAAAAATTTCTTGCATCATTCATGGAAGTCAGAGTTAACAATATAACAGAAAATGAAATGATGAGGACACTAGTTGTCACCCAGCCAGTCAGTCAACTCCACAAAAGAGTGCAGTGGAACTTGAGATCAAACAGCTTAGAAAAGCTGCTCATCTCTCAGTGTCCATACCACCCTCCTCATTTGTCTACTCAAAGGTTTGACAAGTTTAATGACCTAAATGAAATAACTGTGGATGTCACTGAAATTACAGTCAATGAGATCTCAACCAAAAAAAAATAGTCTGCTGACAGATCAATTTTCCTACCACTAGTTTGAAGAAGTCTTTTTATGAGTCGTACATCCTCTGCCAATGCACACCTTCCTTTACAGAATGCCAATGCACCACATTGAACAGAACAAGCCAAGTTTGGGTTTGCTCGTATAACACGAGTAAATGGTGGCAAACTCTAGACAACACGGGATAATTTATTACAATTAAAGATAAGGAAATCATGATGTGCTAATTAAAGCAAAGAGGTTTGTGCAGTTTGTTACACATAAATGGTACGTTTCTAATTGTTGAAGTTGGTCAAGTAAATTACCTAAAAAAAGTAATTTGTGCAATTGATCATTTGAAAGTTGGACTTCTAAATCTCTGCATTCCTTTTTAGCTTCTGAGCTGTACACATTTTATTAGAGACTAGAGGTACTCTAGTTTTTCTCATCTCAAAAAAATTGTTTAAAATGAACTTGACTTTTAAAAGATAAAAACTATAGTAAAAACAGTAAAATATTAAACATAAAGAGAAAATGACAGAGTTTTTTTTGACAAATAATTCACATATAATTCACTTATCTTGACCCAATATAGGTTTTGATTTTAACTTCTTAAGTTTAGCAACAAACACACTTGACCTGGTTTGATTATACCATATCTAACTGTCGTTGATCAAAATGTTCCCTTCCAGTGTAAATGAACAAAAACATTAAACAAATAGAAATTTGAGAATTTCAGGTTTTAAAATACTAGCTGTCATTCAAGTAAGATAACTTTTATCTGAGGGGAAGATTTTTTATCTATATCTTTATATATTTTTATGTTGGGTTTTATATCATGTTATCCCTTCAGTGACAACAAAAGCTCTCTTTTCCTTGTTGCATTTTAAATGTCATAAATTGAAAAACACACATGACTCTCACCTCCTCAATTGCATCTGTTGTAATGGCTGCAGCCACCGACACAACAAGGTGTCTAGATGTGTCAATGGAAGACATGATCTCTTTTGCTACAGGAACTATTATGTAAGGTTTTACTGCCAAAAATACCAAATTTGAATTTTCAACAACTTCCTTATTAATCAGTGTTGTTTGACAGCCCATATCCTATAAAATAAGAAACATCAAAAGTACAATTTTAAACAACTATCTGCAAGCTCAAAGTGCTGATTAGATGACACATGATAACTTTGAATCTCCTGGTGACACAAAATAATTTCTTTCCTTTAAATTAAGGGAGCATTCATAATTTACCTAGAGGGTGGGCTATGATGATTTTGAGGGGGTCACTCTTTTTCCCTTCTATGATTTAGGGGGGGCTGTGGAAAATTTCCAACAAAGATGACATGGAGCATAGGGGGGCAACCATTTTTTTCCTGAAAAAGAAAAGGAAATGAAAATATGCTGTTGGATGATCGTATAATTCCTGTCTTTAACTTTATTTCGACAAAATGTTGATACAGAACTAGAGCATGAAACTTGATGCATGACGCCCACTTCTTGTGCTACAAGGTCTCTTTGCGAGTGGCTCAAACTCACTCTTGTCACCCTCCTCACTCTCGCTCTCCTCATTCTCACTCTCCTCACTCTCACTCTCCTCCCTCTGTGTTTCCCCCAAGACAGTGTCGTCACCTTTGTCATCATCATCATCATCATCATCTGAGACTGCTTCTGGCTCGTGTAAAAGATGTTGCCCTGTTACAGTAATGGTTCTCAATGCCTAAGCCCTAGTCTCTTTCAAATGAGTGGTAATCAGTTCCAGTTTTTCTTTTTACAGCTTTTTTTTCCAAGGTAACAAGTGATTCTTCATATATATATAAGTCAAGTTCCCAAACATAAAGAGAATTTAGCCCTTCAGTCAGAAGAAGCTCCTCTCAATTGTAATCTCCATAGCTCTTAGATGCTCTCGTGCACCTCTTCTGAGCAGCTTCCTGAGTTTGTAGATTTTTACAATAGGATAAGTGTTTTAAATGGTCTATGTAATTCTTAACCAGCTCCTCAGAAACCACAAAAGCTACAAAAAATTCAGCAATCTCTTTTGCTGTTGCCAACCTTCCTTCTGCAAAATATTTTTTAATTTGCGCCCTTGGCATATAGTTGTCCACTGGTCAAGGCTTTCCATCCAAACATGCAGGAGATTCAAAAACACTTTTATATCTGGATGTCTCGATATCTTGGAAAGGGCGCGGAATCCTAGTGTCCATCACAGAACCAAGCCAGGCGTTGCTACACAAAACGCACTTTCTTCCTTTCTTTACTATACAGGCATTCTTGATAAACTCCATGTATAATTCTCCAATATCATAATGATCACTAGTATAGTCACAAATTCTGACAAAATAGTTATAGCTGGGTACATTACTTTTTTAATTGTCATGTGCTTTTATGAAATCATGGAGCTGGCTTCTATTAAAAAAGAAAGCCTCCATATCCTTTTCAGTTACAAATGCCTTTATATAGTCTGACAGAATGGGTGCATCATCAATGTGTAAGGCTATTTCATTAGGAACTCTCCAAGTACTTCTTTCAATTCTTTCATCTTCATGTTTTTCATAGTCTTTCAGTGTCACCTTCTCAATTTCTTTGTCTGATTTGTCATGGAATCTTGGAAAATGTACCCATTTTATTGATCCACCATCAAAAACTGCATCTCCTACCGCCAAATTTGTTCTTTCTGCTTCTCCTTGGCCACTGTCTTCTCGTGCTCTAGGAACCCTGATGCGGTAGTCAGAGTTCCAAATCCTTGATAACTCAGCTAATTACTAATAAAGCTCAATATACCTGTCACANCGAGGTTGCCTCTCGCGGTAAGAAAAAGGGATTCAAATATTACCAACTTGTTATTTGTACAGATCGATTGTAGTTTGAATGACACGTGCCCAAGTACTTAACCAAATTAAGAAAACAAACTATTTCACCTTCCAGACAGCTAGTGTTTTTTCCGTGGTAGCACTTGCAATGATGTTACTTTCTCTGACGGTGTTTGTCGCAATAAATCCTTTGGCTATTGCTCTTGCCATGGTTCCGCCTCCGATAAATCCAACCTTTAGTTCGTCCGCCATTTTGAAAATGGTTTTACCCAGTTCTCTCTTTTGATAAGCGGGTGGCCTTGGTAGTTTCCAGTTTCCTCTCTGCAATCACTCCAGAAACCGTAAAATACGTAGGCATTTATAGATTATACTATTAAAAGTAACATATTATGCTAGTGGCATTGCTTTTTCTTTGGCGAAATTATGCTAAAATTATGCTCTTTTTTCCAAATTATGCCCCTTTTTTTTAAATTATGCTCTTTGAAAAAATTTCAAATAAGTCCAAAAAATACATTTTTTAATTACAAGCCGTTGGTTTACAAGAAAGAAACCCAACAAATCCACAATGAAGTTCAAATAAACATGTGGTTCATGTTAATACGCACAGTAGTACTAGACTGTACATGGCCTACAATGTGACTTCCGGTTCCGGTGCACCCCAGACCCGGGCTCAGACCGTTTCAGACGCCGCTCAGTGATTCACAGTGAACTACAATGCTACTTCTTGAACTAAAACTTAAAACATCGAATAACGTCACCAAGTGCTTGGGAGTAGATCATAGAGATGAACAATGATCAAATTGTTGCATCAAAAATGATCCGATAATGATCAAAATATGCGAATTATGCTAGCATTGCTACTTGGCAGGAATTATGCCAGTTGCTCAAATTATGCCAAACTTATGCTAGCATAATCTATAAAGGCCTACCCAAGAGTCAGCTCTGAGAAATTTAACGTTACCAAAAAGTATAAAAATCGGAGATTGCCAGAATCAGACTACAAGGAGATCGATTTCTCGGAAAGTACAGGGCAAACGACCCATAATGCTGAGAAGAAATACATTGTTCGACGTCATTCACTTATGCATCTCCTTCTAAACATTCTATTGGTTGATTGTACCTGCCAGCTTAATTTCGAAATACAAAAAAAATTTACCAATAGAAAACTTATGCTACTTTTTTTGAAGTTAAATGCGCACTTCAGTCAGGCTACATCAGGATAGGCAAAGAGAAAATATTTCTCGAGTATTCATTTGTCCCTCTATTCAACAATGGGCTGCGCGTCTTCGTTTTCACAACCAAAATTCCGAAGTGATATTCCAGCTAAGACGACGCTTTTACTAACAACGACACAGAAAGAGGTTATTCGGAAATCATGGATACCGCTTCATAAAAGAAGAGCTGAAGTTGGTGTCAAAGTTTTCCTAACGTAAGTGTGACAAATTATTGGATTAACAGACTACTTGTATGCGGTTTATTTTTTTTAACATTATTATTATTATTATTATTATTTTTTTTTTGCAAGTAGCCAGAGATCTTATTAGCAACGAGTAAAAAGTTGAGTTTTTACGCTGAGAGTTTGCTGCGATCTGAAGTTATTAAAAAATGAGAATGCAAAGGTTTTTTTTTTCAAACATGATAATTCCAGAATCACATTCGTCCGAGTATAATCCATCCATCTTAGTACTATTAGTCGCCTTGTAAATCTGTTGTACTTTTATGATAAGCTGATTATTTTAGTCAATAAGCACTTTGCACTTCAGACTATAAGGCTCCGCACAAGTCATGTTTTTACAGTTACTTTTTCATCGGTAAGACTGCATTTAGAATTTAAAGGCTGTCTAACATTATCCAGGTGATGAATACTTTGTAAGCACAAAATTTTGTAAAGGACCTCTCACATCTTCTAACAATATGAAATAATTATTTTTATGCTATTTTACTAGCTACCTTGATTACTTATGAATAATAATTTCAAACTTTTGGAAAGCCTTTTCATGCACCGGACAATATACTCAGTCTTTCTCCAAGCGTAAATAAACCTTATCAAACTTTCGAAGTTTAATCAAATTTTATTAAGTTTTCTATTAGAAGCGAGACCAGACGAAAGTCTTCACTCATTTGCTACCTTTTCAAACGATTTCTCTAGAATTTGAAGTGAATTATTCCAGGTACATTTTTCATCTGCTAATGGATATATGATTGCAGGAAATAAACTCGCAACGTTGCAAGAACATAATTTAATCAGTGTCTATCGTACATTAGTTTTTATTTCACTGCGGATATTACCTTCCAAATTCCGGCGTAACTATAGGAAAACGAAAAAGCTTCATGTATACGTGACAAATTTCCCTTTGTTTTCACAATTTCGGGATGCAAGCATGATCACACGTGCTTGCCAGAAAATAAGTCTTCCAATGAATGTAGAAAGTGCATCCTGTCTAAATTATTGCCTCGGGCAGATGTATTAGTTCGAGAGAGTATGTTACCGTGACGTCTCGGTAATAACTAGCGCGATTGTGTTTGAACCTATCGCGAGCTTTTCCTTATCCCTGCCACCGCTGAGATTGTAAACATTGTTTATTTTCAGTGCCACGGCTAGGAAAGGGGTGATCAGTTTTCGTTTTAAGTTAATAATACCGCGGGGGATGGGATACACAAATTGAGTTGGAAGTGCAATATGATTCGACTATTATTCGTGCACTTAGCCACGTTTTTAGAGAACGGTCACTAAAGTTACGTTTGTCGATTCAAAGTGAGAGTAGGAATTGACCGTCAGAAAATGTATAAGATTTGCAGCTGAACGTCCATTTGGGGAAAAATGATTACTTTTCAGCTTGGGAGAGCAAGTTGAAGCCAAATTAAAGTTACTGTAGACAAAAGTGGCGGCCGCTTTTGGCTAAATTGATTTCACGGCTCTATCTCATTCTTGTGGAAAATACAAGACTAGGGCTCATATATCCGAGTTAACTGGATTGTAGTTTGAACAAAAAGTGATTCTTCGCAAGTTTTGTCTGTGGTGTTTTGTGTGTTGTGCAGTCCGCGTGGAAAACCGTTGTAAATGCTGAAACAGTCAATATGTATATTAGCTAAGTTTTAACTGTGTATCTCAAAAAGGTGAGAACATTGCAGTCGCAAAACTGAATGAACCTGACATTGCTTTGCCAAATTTCAATTCTATTTTTATCAGTTGAAAGCATTACTTCATCAAGAGCTGTCAATAAGCGATTTTAGAAATCTCGTTGAGAAAACAAGCATTTTTCGTCCGCCTAAAACATTAGTGAACGCTGACGTGGCGTGCGGCTAAACTGTCTCAAAGAGCCCATGCGCGTTTATCGCCTGTTATTCATAGACTATTTAGCTGACGATAAGCAGTCACAAACAATCGCTGGATCTTATAAATTTTTTTTAGACTTTTTGAAAACGATCCGGGGTTACAAAACATGTTCTCGGAGTTAAGAGAGGTAAAACTAGAGGAGCTGGCGCGAACTCGAGAGCTTCACGGACATACCGAGAGAGTGATGCGTGTCGTGGAGAACTGCGTTAACGCTATGGATGACCCAGACTCCCTGAGAGCTTACCTGACAGAGCTGGGAAGGAGGCACGTATATCGATCAGTAAAACCAACTGTTAGTAATGTAAGTATGGAAATTTTTTTAAAATGATAATCTAGTGAGCAGCACTGGACGAACTGAAATTGTGAAAACTTGTTTTAATCTCCAATGCGTTTCGTTTGAAATGGCAGACTCCGTCAGAGAGCTTTTACAAGTAGGGAAAATAAGCTTAGTTATGTACAAATGGTGTTGTTTTAGACCTACACGTACAGAGTGAACCAAGCGGAAAGTATCCGCAAGGTGTGACAAAGGTGTTGTACATGAGTGACAATTTTCGGACGTCACATGTATGAGTACGCGATGTGTTTGGGGACAATATTGAAGTATCTTAAAAGATATAATTTCTCTTTACAGTATCAATACAATATCAAGCAGTCAATTGATGAGGATACCAAAACATATTCGTTAGGGGGTTATCATTTGATCCAACACCACATTTTCAGAACAAACTTTACAAGAAATTTCACTGAGCCGATAGAGAGTGAAGGGATTAGGGGCCTTGAAAGGCGCAGAAATATGAGGTATGAAAGGCGACGGGCTTACATTTCAATCTGCAGATCAGCTTAGCGTACTTAATCTCAGTGCCACCTTAGACCTTTCTGCTATTCTAGCTGGTGCGCACCACTTTAGCATTACACTAAGCCAGCTAAAGGCCAACTGAGCTGGTTTTTCGTTCAATCTTTCTTCTCTTTTCACAACAGCTTCACCAGATTTCCCAAGCGTTGATTTCAACCTTTCGGGAGACCATCCAGGATGAGTGGACTCCTGAACTAGCAGAAGCCTGGGAACTACTGTTGAATTACTTCACTCTAATGTTGAAGGAAGGAATACGTTCGACAGTTGATTGACACACTAAAATGTATATTTCACCTGGGGAAAACTCACCCACTGCACTGAAATTTCTAAAAATTGAAAGTCGTAATAATTTATCTTGGAACGAATGCGTGTTATAAAGAGTTACCAAAAAACACAAGTAAGCGAGATAAATGTAGTTGATTCCATTTAATAATTCAAACCACGAACTTTGCACATTATCCATTTTCAAAAATACACGTCTATAACGAAGTTTCTAATTTAAGCAAAATTTTTTTTACCTTTTAATACAACGTGGCACTAGTCTCCTAATGAATGGAGATTTACCTAAATTATATCTTCGACGCTTCTTTTGTTACCTCAAAATAGAACAATGTGACAGCGATCAGACGTTCTGAGTATTGAGCGCATTTTGACCGGGTGACGTAAAAAAACAACCAATTTGGTGTACCACAGCCAATCAGAAGAAAGGTACTAAAAATTAACCAATGACAAGTTGCCTAGAACACAGGAAAACGTGGCTGAATAGACCACTTTCATAAATGGCTGCCGGATTAATATTCTTTTGTTTAAATTTAAATTAGCCTTTCTGGCCTCGTTCTCCAGTACAAAATTCAAAAGAATACATTATCTCAAGCGAGGCCAGAAAGGCTAATTTAAATTTAAACAAAAGAATATTCATCCGGCAGCCATTTTTGAAAGTGGTCAATGAGTCGCTTTTTCTGGACCAATCATAGAGCGGAATGACGCAAACCTACATCAATCTCGGACTACATTCGACACTTCACTGAGAATTCCTCTCAAGGAAATACCTCGGCCTTCTAATAATCACCCTTTGCAATAAGTAGATCAATAGCTCAGTGGACTTGAGATTTTAGATTTTTGCACCTAAAAGAGACTGACTTGCACCAACACTTGTGCTTCCAATCCTGTACCGAAGGTTATGTTGGCGGAGTTTTCGGCTCTGAGAAGCCGTGACTCTTTCAAACGGTGGCGTCATTTATTAGACCTACCCAAAGGCCTACGCGATCAGTAAACCAAGAGGGAAAATCCAGCGATTAAATTAGTAACCTTCAAACCTGATTACTTTATAACTAGGACAAAAGAAAAAGTAAAAATAGCGGATTTATCATGTTTAAAGGAGATGAATTTTAATAAATTTTAACTGTTTGACGAACCAATGGAACTTCGTAGGAGCTGTTTATGTCTGCTACAAGCTACAAGGATTAAGATTTATTAATGGAATATAATATAATAAAATATCCTCTCTGCGATAACTGTTAATCTCTTGAAAACAAATACTTCTTCAGTTAAAGATCCGCCACTCTCGTGAAAGATCGTCTCTTAAGTAAGCATGTTCAAATTTCCAGCACTAAGTTGCTCGAAGCACGATTCGCACTAATTAATACTTAAATACCATATCAGAGTAAAGTTTTTGTATAGGGCTAACTTTATCAATCTAGTTTCGAACAACAGTCTAGAACTTTGAATAGGTGACCTTAAACTCGGAGTGCTGTGTGCCACTAAATGATAAAACCCAGGTGCTGGTTGTTCAAATGGCGCTTAGCTATAGTTCGAAATTGAAAGTAAAACTCGAGGGCTAATCTCGGTTTAAAAGTCTGTTTTTTGAGTACATTTTCTAGGCTCCGCTGATTGTAGTTCTCTGTTTCTTAGTTCGTTACTTGTGAATGTAACGGGTTCTTTCACAGTAGACGAGCCAAACTAGTGCACTGGGGCTAATATCTTGAAAGTTTTGTCTTATGTAACGTAGACTTGCAAGAAATAAAATATCTAGATAATTAAACATTCTTTAACCCTCCAAAGCTTTAATACTAATCCAGGGTTAGCTTCGTCGCCTTTTGGTCAACACAGTCCATGTTTTCATTGGTATTCAGTATTTAGTAAACATAACACACGCATCACCATTCGTAACATTTTGCTGATTTCTTTGAGGAGTGTCAAAAGATGGTAGATCTCGCTGTGCTTATGCCCCCAGCCCAACACAAACCAAAAGGAAAAACTCAGATTCGCAGATCCTTATACATTTACTGATAGCGTCCACATTGTGAAAATGAAAATAGCTATTTTGCGATCATGTCTGCACTCATAGTCGTCTAGCTGTTCTGTGGTAGAGCTAAAGAAACTGATAAGTTACTGTAACATGCGTTTAATCAGTTGACGGGAGGAACCATCGATTACAGTCTGTTTTGGTTGCTAAAAATACAACCACCCATTGTGATCCCTTTCGCACACAGAGTTAAACAGGCACCCTTTCTCGGACTTGCAAAATTTCATCAGAAAAAAAAGATAATCAACCATATTTTTTTGGTTCAGTCACTGTATTCCTCCTCTTCACTCTCTCCGCTTTCGTCCAAGTCATCTTTATCTTCTTCATCTGAATCAGAATCCCATTGTTTGGTAACTATTTCTTTAGCTTCTTCTACAGTGATCTGTAAAAGTTTGTAAAAATAGTTTAAGTTAATGCCTTTTCTGTTCGATAAAAATGATCGTTTTTTACCCATTCACCTTCCGGAAATGATTAACATCCAACTTCTCCTTACTTACATACATACATACAT